AATCAACGCAGAAAGTAAAACGACGAAAAATGCCGAAACTAAATTTATAGTTCTTCTAGGCTAACGCGTTTTGGGGTAATAAAATATTAATCAATTTCTTGAAATACATCTACCTACAGCTACGTTCAAAGTTACACAGGACAGTTACGTAAGTCCGAAAGCGTGATTTTCTTTAAGGATAATTTACGTTTGGCATTTAGAAAAGAAACAGCGAATCTTAACAAGCCTTCAGATTAAATCTTTGCATTTAATATGTGTATATAATGATACAAAACTATTAGCTCAAAATGTGCTTCATAGCATTTTAAAGGAATAACAGACTTTGAATATATAGGGTGCAAAATTAATGGCATCCTATATATTAAATGCATCTCATATTATTTCTCTATAACATACCGGAGGACACATTTGTGTTTTAATTCAAGTGACATATGAGTAAACATTACTTTATATTATGCATACACAAATATTAAATTTCCATTTAAATATCTATTTATTTACCATCTATTAATTAAATTTTGTCTATTCTAAAGGTTTGAAATTAAATCCAGTACATTAAGAGATATTGCCTCGAATATTTTAGGAAATATTTCCTTTCGCTTTGTCTGCGTATTCATATAAACTCAAAATTAATTTCCCTTACTACTTTATCGCAGAAACGTTGCTATTATTTATGACTTTCTTAGTAGAGGATTATTTAAATATAGAATTCTAACATAAGGTTAACTGTGAAGGATGAGTATTAATCCATTAAATTTTATCAAATAATTCCACAAGTACTGTCGTTTAATCGAAGGTGTTTTGAAGAAATAAAATAAGAGTATTGGTATAATTTAATCAACTAATTATTCTTTGTATGAATTAATAACACTGTTACAACGCTGTAATAGGTTTTACTATAATATTTGTGAAGAAATATGTTGACGTACTTCAGAAAATATTTTAAAGGCCCGCTTTTAAATACCTCATGGAATTGTACTGTTTTTTTTTTTTTTTTCTTTTTTTGATAGTTAAAATCAGGAAACATCGAACCAGCAGTCATTTCTTATCAGCGGATGATTAAAGAAAGAAAAAAAAACACATAAGAATGAAGAATTCAGATGTTCACAAGATCTCTTTTATTTGCGTCAGCCAGTGCATATAGAAACCGACAGCTCAGCATTGATGAAATGTTAATATTTCAAGTTTTTTTAATTGCGGTGGACAGTTTATGATCCGCCGCTCAGACGGTACAGTGGTTAGGTGAGCCGACTGCGATACCAAATGGCCCGAGTTCGAAGCCCCAAAAAGGCATGGTTGTATTTGTCTGTGCCTCCATAATAAAGTATTCACAGCTTCTGGTCTTACTAGTGGCTAACGTCTGTGGCTGGTTTGGTCCAGCCATTTGATGAAAAAAAATTTTATGACCCAGAAATTTAACTCATCTGTCTGTTCTTCAACAACTGCATATCGACTTCTTTTAACTGAATATCTCAATTCATTATTGTCGAAAACGATAGGGCCACTTTTAAATACCTCATGGAATTGTACTTTTTTTTTTTTTTTTGATAGTTAAAATTAGGAAACATCGAAACAGCAGTCATTTCTTAAACCGGAAGAATAATTGCGACATAGATGTGTATTTGGCTTGTGAGTTTAAAAGAATATTGTTTCCATTTAGTAGCTTGTATTCGCATGTATCGCAAATAATTTGTCGATCCCGGCCTTCAATAACCTTTGGAAGGCCAAAGCGCCCGACACGACCTTTCATTCCAACGACCACAACCACCCGAAACGACCGAGATTGCGGTGTTGTTATCTTCCCACCTCTAAGGTATGCAGGTGCTATTGTGCTTACTGCTCCGGACACCACCCCACAAAGGAGTGCACGGCGGAAATCCCTTCCTGCATTAACTGTGGGGATTCCAACTGTCGCTTTGGAACGAAAATTAACTTCCAGCACCCCGCTTTTGCCACGGACTGTCCAATTTATCAACGAACGGTTGCCAACGTCCGAGGTAACATCGACTACTAGAGCAGCATGCGCGCATACCACCCAAGTCTAACAAGACATCCCCGTGCCCGCACAAGAGGTAGACAACGCAGGAACGGTAATGTTAAGAACATCAGAAGCAGCAGGCAAAAATACCGGAGATGCACAACAGTTGTATAACGGCTCTGATATAAATAACGAGTTAATTCGAAGGGATGCCCCTATAAAATTCCTTCAGATAAATCTACAACATGCGCGGGCAGCGGTTGCACAGTCCATCCAGTATGCGTTAGATAACAGTATTGACATCATAATTGCTCAAGAACCTTACACCAGGAACGGGGCAGCAGTCGGTTTTCCGATTCAGTGGACAGTGATTCAAAAACCAAGCCAGGAACATCCGCCCAGGGCGATAATAGTCTGTTGCAATCCTGAATGGTCACCAACAGTTGCTGCATTGGAACAGGATAACGTAGCGATCTTACTAGAGGTCCTATCTATGTCCCTCATTGTAACCTCTAATTACTCGCCACCCACGGCAGATATCGGTACGACAACAGGATTCCTAAATAGGATTATTTACCAGCACAGGCTACCAGACATGATAATTGCAGGGGATTTTAATGCCCACAATACAGCCTGGGGATATCGCGCAACCGATAGCAAAGGACAAGCAATGGAGGACTTTATCTCTTCTAACAACCTTGTTCTCCAAAACACACACAGAAGCACCTCCTTCTTTTGACAGAGTATTCGCACAGGGGTGGCCAGACCTCACTTTGACTACCCCACACACTGCCCCCTTCCTCCAGGACTGGAAGGTAGTAGATGAAGAGAGCCTAAGCGACCATAAGTATATAACCTTTACACTCGCAAAGCATACTATCGTTTCGAAAATCCGTCGATATAACCTTCCAGGACGGAAGATTAAGACATTCGCCAAGAAAATTAAAGAGCAGCTAATATTTTTGGAGCCAACGCTACAGCCACTGACTACAGCGGATGAGCTTGAGGATTTCACGACCAAACTACAAACGTCAATACAAAATATCTGCAACCAATGCCTCCCTGTTCGAAAGCCCAAAAAGCTACAGGGAATAAACTGGTGGTCAAGCTCACTAAGAACTCAGCAGTCTAAATGCAGAGCACTCCGGAGGAGATTAAAAAGCGAGCGAAGACTGGGAACACAGTCTGACACCCTGACTATCTACCAAAAGGAACGGGCGACATATAAACGAATGATAATTCAAGCCAAAATTGCCTCTTGGCGTGAGTTCTGTACGCATACCAAGGAGATTTATGGCATCCACCACAAAATCGCCACAGCTAAAATCTTCAAACCGACGCAGCTACAAATACCTTCTTCCCAGACTACTGCGCAAAGCCACACAGAAGAAACCATAAGGGCAATTCTTAACCAGGCATTTAGTCAGGATGATGCTCAACACGACACAGAGCAGCAAGCCAATCTACGCTTAGTTTCAAATTCACTGGACACTGACGCGGACCTGGATATAACAATCACCGAGCTTAAGAACATTTTACGTATCCTTCCAAAGAAAAAGCCCCCGGACCAGACGGGGTCGATTATGCAATAGTCAAGATTATAATCCAAGCACATCCAATGTTTTTTGTTGCCTTTTTCAATAAATTATTACTCACAGGGACTTTCCCCAAAGCTTATAAAATTGGACAAGTCATTCTCTTCCTAAAGAGAAATAGGAACCCCGATGATTTAACAGCCTATAGGCCCATTTGCCTATTGTCGGCCATGGGTAAAATCCTAGAGAAGATAATCATGAGCAGACTGCAACACCATCTGCATAGGACCAATTTTCTGAGCCCCAAACAATACGGCTTCCGTCCAGGAACCTCTACTATCCATGCTCTCACTAATATCCGAGATGCAATTTTAGAAAATCGAAATAGCGGCCACCATACAGCCTTGGTCAGTATCGATCTTAAGAGTGCTTTCGACACTTTATGGTGGCCAGCTATAAAAAGTGCACTCAGAAAGTCTAATTGCCCCAGCAACATATATTCTATACTATGCAACTACCTAAAGGACAGGCGACTCTTAGCCGTCCACAATGCTGGAATCTTGGATATGGTACAAACAAGAGGATGTCCACAAGGGTCGTGCGCGGGGCCACACTTATGGAACATAACGTTTAATGAAGTGCTCTCTGCCGCATGGCCCGCGCACACCCAAATCTTCGCCTATGCTGATGACGCTGCAATGGTCGTCAAGGGACGGACTAGGGACGTTCTCCAGACAAACTGTAACGAAGTGTGTCACATCTTTTATGTCAGGTGCACCAATCTTAAAAACTGCAAATAGCAGATCATAAATCTAAAATCCTCTTGATCCCTAAGAAAGGCGGATCACTTGCAAGACGCCCTACGATCAAACTAAATGGGCAGAGAATTAAAATTGTGAATACCTTGAAATATCTGGGTGTCACTTTTGATACTAAAATGACGTGGATCCCCCACATTCAAGATCTCAAGCTAAGAACCAGTGCTATAGTTAAGCAAATGCGCCAGTTTTATGGTTATAAGTGGGGACTCAATCCACACATACAAAAAGTGTTATATACGACAGTAGTGGAAAAGATAGCTACATACGCAGCAGCAGTTTGGTGCCACCCAATGCAGGGCAGGAAGATTAAACATCTTTATACCATACAACGGCCCTTCGCATTGGGCATTACAAGGGCCTACCGTACAACCTCATCGGATGCTCTTAATGTATTAGCTGGTCTACTCCCACTACACATACGAGTTGAAGAAGAGGGCGGCCAGACAGATTATACTGCAACTCAAAAAGCCAACTGTGTTTGACGAGGAATACTTCCATCCGGAAGAATATGAAGTCATTGATCGACCACTGCATGTCCACCCAGCGAGCAAAGGCACTGGTGTCAAAGTCACCATCAACCCGTCTACGACTAATTCCCCAACACTATTTAACATCTTCACCGACGGCTCCAAAATCGATGAAAAAGCGGGATGCTCATACATAGTCATGCGACATGATACAATTCAAGCAAGATGGAAGGCACAACTGCGGCAGCATAACAGTGTTTTTCAAGGAGAAGCGATAGCAATTGCCCAAGCAGTTAACTATTTGCTCTCCTCTAACATCCATAATGCCACCATCAAAACCGACAGTTTGTCGTCGTTGCATGCCATCATGAACCCCAACCATGTCAGTAAAATAATACAGGGCATTCAAGCAAATCTGCGCCAATGCAACCTGCACATCAAGCTTGAATGGATCAAAGCACATGCGGGTCATCTCGGAAACGAGATGGCGGACCAACTTGCCAAAGAAGCGGCGTTAGGCCCGACAGATTTGCAGTTCAATATCCCATGGCCGGTCACATTTCTAAAGAAGTCACTACGACTTAAAGCCATTGGCAAGTGGCAACAAGAATGGGATGACAGTACCACTGGAAGACGTGTCCACTACCACATCAGCTATGTGGACACAGAACGGAACATTGCCAATTCACAGCTGGTTAGGTACATTTCGGGACATGGACCTTTTCCTGTATACTTCTACCGATTTGGCATCTGTTCCTCAGATCAATGTACGTGTGGACACACAGGCTCCCCGGAGCACTACCTAACTTCTTGTCCACTCACAGAGGGACAACATGTTCCTATACCAACGACTAACAGACAGTCATTTTGTAAATTCCTTATTAAGCAGCGCCACTTAATCCAAAAATCCATTGGACGTATGATGGATAAGCTGGACAGACCTAAACACAGATGCTTATGCAGCACGCAGCAGTCCGCGCAAGCAAGCACATAGTACTTGCAATATCTGCAAATGAATCAATATGAATTATGCAGTTACAGTAAATTCATTAAGCAGCGCCACTTACAAAAATTGTATGATGGATAAGCTGGCAGACCTAAACACAGACTTATGCCAAATATAGAGTCCGCGCACCTAAGCACACTGCATATACTCAATGCAATATGAACTGCATAACTACAAGTACTGTGAAATTTGTAATGAATGGACGCCTAAACTCTGCGTCTGATTTTACACCCAATATGCAAACCACATAGGCACATGTAATATTAAAACGCAATAGTATCTGTAAGTTTGTTCCAAATGTAATCTGCAAATTGCAAACTGTGCGTATGTGTGTCTAAGACAAAATGTGCTATACTACAGTTCAAATGTATTGATGTAACTCCAACATAGTAAGCGAAGCTATAATGTAACCAGTGTTCAAGTCATTGATTTATATGTAACGTGTGTTTAATGTAAATATAGTGTCTAAACTATTGATTGTACTCAGTATATGTTTTTTTTATATTTATGATATTTGTGTATGTTTTTTTTATTTTAGCATGGTTTCTTCATATAACTGTCCAATGGTTTATTGTACCGATTTTATGTAACATATGCTTACTGTACCCATGATATCAGGGACTGTATTCTGTATTGTAGCATGCTCCCACATATGGTTATCCTATGCAATTTTGTGTAACTGTCTTCCATGCTTTACCCCTGTATGTATATAACTATGTTCCATAGCATAGCATATTCTAACACGCACCTGTGAGGCGCAGTAAGTGAAGTTTTAACGCAACCAGAGTTTCAGTCCTTGATATATATATATATAATGTTTGTTTAATGTAGACAAACTCAGTCATTGATTTTCATGTAATGTATGTGTAATGTATATATGATATCTGTGTTTGTATTTTATATTTAAGCATGTCTCTACATATGACTGTATTATGCATTAATATGTAATTGTTTTTCATGTTTTACCCCTGCATGTACATGGCTATGTACCATGGAATATTTTAACATGCTCCAGAGTAGCGCAATAGCATCTGAGTCTTTGATATATGTCAGGTTAATGTAAACATAGTATCTCAGTCACTAATTTTTATGTAACATATGTTTAGTGTTTATATAATATGTTTTTCCATAATCGTTATGTAACTCTCCACAAGTTTCATCCCTGCATGTAAATAACTATGTACATAGATTATTTTAACGTGCCCCTGTGTGGTGCAGTTAAGTGAAGATTTAATGCAACCAGTGCCTTCATTTTTTGATATTTAGGCTACGCCTTTTTAATGTAGATATAGTATTTTAGACATTAATTTCATGTAACGTGTGTGTAATGTATGTGTAATGTATCTAAGATGTTTTCATGTAATGTATGTGTAATGTATCTATGATATCTGTGTTTGTATCTTATAATTCAGCATGTCTCCACATATGATTGTCTTATGCATTATTATCTAACTGTTTTCTATGCCTTACTTACCCCTGCACATATATAACCTTGTACCATAAAATACTTTAATATGTGGCTGTGTAGCGCAATAAGTGAAGCTTAAAGCACAACGTCTGAGTCTGTGATATCCATGCAATGTCTGTCCAATGTAAACATAGTATCCAAGTCATTAATGTTTACGTAACAAAAGTTTAATGTATTTAGGATATTGGGTGTTAATAATTGTTAAGTAACTTTTTCCATGTTTTACCCCTGCATGTAAATAACTATGTACCATAGAATATTTTAACGCGCCCCTGTGTGGAGTAGTAAGTGAAATTTTAATGCAACTAGTGCCTCAGTCCTTGATATTTAGGTAATGTTTGATTAATGTAGGTATAATAGTATGTTAGTTATTGATTTTCATGTAACATATGTTTAATGTATCTATGATATCTGAGTTGGTATGTTATATTTTAGCATATCTCCACATATAATTGTTTTATGCATTATCATCTTACTGTTTCCATATCCTACCCCTGCATGTATGCACCCTTGTACAGTAGAATATTTTATCTTACGCCAGTCAGGCGCAATAAGTGAAATCTAATGCACCTAGCGTCCGAGTCCTTGATATTTATATTGACACTGGTGGACGTGGCGCTACACCAATTAACCATATGGTAAAGGGGTGGTGCCCACGTCCTCCGTCGCATGTCGTATTCGAGGTATCGGTGCATTTCCCCAATGCATTATATCAGTTACGCAACAGCTGCCTAATAGCTGTGAAGCTTCTTATAGAAATAAAAAGGATGTCATGTGAAATCTTCATACCTCTTTGTGCGTTAATGGACGGTGAGGGGAAGAAACGAACAAGACGTTTAATGAACGGAGACGGGCGTTTCGGTATTTTAAGCATACACGTTAGCGAAGGCTTCGGCTTTTTAAGGGTAATGCTCTCCAGATAAGCTTGTATTTGGATTTGAAGCAATGGCAATTAAATTTGACGAATTTTTATAATTGTTTGTTAATTAAAGGCAAATCTGAGACTTTTTTAGTAAGCTTAGACCATGCTAATTATAAAAAAATGAAAAACCGATAAATCGTATTATTGATCTTTATTGCCAAATATTCTTACCTGGAAGATAAATATGTCAAGAAAAATGCTTTTTGATTACTAACTGCATTAAGTTCAAAATCTTAAAAAGTAACTTTCGCTGAATGAATAAGTGAAATGCATTGAATGTAAATCGGTAACAAGAAAGCGCTAATAAATAGGTTAATTCCATAAACCGAAGTCATCAAAACTGTGATGATAAACGATACTGGATAAATAAATTCGTTCTAAGGAACATTTTCTAGTTTAAAAAATTTAAATCGATGTTCTCGAAAATTAACCCTTTCTTTGGAATGAAATTGAAATACTTTAAGCAATATAAAAAATAACCTGCTATTTTGCAATTCGGAACACTTTTGATAAATGTGATAACATCATCATTTTTGCCTTTCTTGGATATGTTATTAAAATGACTGGCATTAGACTCTCAATACTTATCTGTTACCCAAAAGCATTTCTTTAGAATTAGAAACTTTTCATATAAGGAAAATTTAAATAGCTTGTTTATTTTCCAGTATCTGTTTGAAATCTGGAAACTGTTCTGAGTAACATTACGAATTTGATTTTTTTTCTTAAACTTAATAAGCATCTTCCGTTTCTTTCCATTTCTGATAGATCTGGTAGGATTTGCATATTCAGTCTTGAAATTTATTTTTAGTGTAAAATGTTTGTAAATATTTTGATCTTGTAAACCTTCTTCAAGACATATTTTATATTCCGGTTTATTGCACTGGAGAAAATTTTTGATTTTTGTCAATGTCGTGTCATTCAATACTCAGCATTTCTCGAAATTCAACAAATTGATTTCTGGAGATTCACGGCTCTGTTCGGTTTTATCAAAATGTTACTTTTTGAGTTTCAGTTCAGTTGTTTATTACTCCTGAGATACTCATTGCTCTATTTATTTTTTAGTTCAAAGGGGCTTTGTCCCTGAGGGACTATTGTCTTCGTTTTGCGATTTTGCGTCGAATCACTCTGAATGCCTGTTTCACTTTTCAAACTGTTGCCACAGAATATTATCTCCCTGTATTATATTTGAAAAAATTAAATAATGAAGAATCTGCATAAATGTATGTATGTTTCTCACACTGTGATAAAACGACGGTACCTAGAGCCATCAATTTTGAAGATCACGTAATCCTTCTATCGTATATGGGCAGCTGGAATCCCAAATTGAAATTTGGAGTTTGTTTTAATTATCGATTTCATATTTTGTAAAACTTTTAACGAAGTTTTGATTAACAAACTCAAAACGATCAAAGCGAGCAATAATAACGTTGTACAGAAAAAACCTTTTTATCTCCAGCGCGCGAGGCTCTGTATCGGAAATTCTAAAGGATAAGGCTCAATTTAATATTATTTTGTGATATTGCTCTTGAACTGAATTTTATGATTTAAGCGAGAAGAACATGTTATTTAATAAACAATGGTGGCACCCAAAATGTTAAAAAATGAACCTTCGGACGTAATTTAAAACTGGAACTTTTCAGACTTTTTTTTTTTTTTTTTTTGTTGTTGTTACTTTTTAAGGCGTTTTTCCTTCTCTTCTGACAAAAACTCGTAATGTAAGGCGGTGGTGCCCAACCTTTGGCCTCTCGGGAGCACATTTCCAAAACATCAATATTTTTGTTAAACATATTTCCAATCTTATGCGATACATCTTAAATATTAATTTTGGCAAATGGTTTTGTGATGAATTATAATATTGGTTGAACTTTATGGAAATCAGAGAAGCAGAGTTGAAAATTATTTTTCAGTGTATTTAGGTTTTCCCAGTAATTCTCTGTTTCAATCGCCTTGTGGTTATTAATATAAATTCTGAAAATGGGTGAATTTTTTTTTTCTTTCATGATGTCTTGTTTTTCACCCGCTAAGTCTTTCTGCATCGATGGGCGAAAAATCAAGCATAGGTGCGAAAGAAAGGTATATAGAAAGGGGAGCAATTTCGTATTTGAGGGGAGTAAAAAGGGACTTACTTCGTACATTTTTTACGAGTTCAAAAGGCCAGAAAGAAAAGATGGGACAAAATAAAATTTAAAATAAATGGTCCAAAAATAATAGAGGGGAAAAAAGGGCCTATAGAAAGAAAAGGAAAAGAAGTAGAAACTATCCTAAAATACGATTGTGTCCATGAGTGTAGTTAAGGAGTTCGTCTGCAAAAATTAGTGTCTTTAAGAAGCCAACTTTAGCTAAGTTTAAAAAAAAAAAAAAAAAAAAAAAAAAGAATGAATTCCTACATGGTAATGTGTATGCCCTTATCTTGAGACATAACTAGAAAAGACATATATCATCACAGAGATGTACATGATATTTTAACTAAAGTAACATTAAATATTACCGTTCCCAAAAAATTCATGTATATTTCAGAAAAACAGTAATTGACAAAATTATAAATCCATACACAGTGTGAGAGCATTTCAGCAAAAATAAATTATACAGTTTATTTTT